ATAGCGCCAGCCACTGCCAGGTCCTGCCTGGCCCTGGCTTTGGGCAGTGATTTACACCCGCTCCCAGGCCCACATCACCTCCTCTGTGGGGGTAAGACGGAGCTCAGCTCAGGCGACTTGTCCCTGCTTAATCCACTTAGAAAGCTCCCCTCCGCCTTCCCCCATGCTGGCCCGGCCTCTCTGCCTGTAATGTTTTGGAAATGGCAAAGGCATCATCAAAAAGCCCAGTGCAAGCCATGAAAAGGCTGTCAGTGATTTCCCCCGGCCTTCAGCAGTGCCTCTCATCGCTTCTTTAACCCTTCCCAGGGTCCCCATAGGCTGCTGAGTAGTCCAAGCCTCCAGTTTTCAAAGTTGTCAAGGGGGGTGAGGGGTGAAGGCATCCAAAAATTCTCATGGATGCGCCCCCTTTGAAAATCCACACTGAGACAGCCGCTTGATAAACGTTGCTTCTCAAGCAAGTTATTTCAGGAGACATCTCCTCCTCCTCTTTCCTACTCCCTGTGATCCTGTCTCCTTTTCCAGGGCAATCCTACAAGGGGGAGGGGGCACCTTTTGGAGAGGTACACACCTGCACACAGTCTCACATCACCCATGGCCACCGGGATTTGCAAGGCAGGGGTGCCATGCCGGCCGGAGGCCGGGTCAGCAGGGCGAGTCCCCGAACACCGTCAGGTTGTGCTCCTGGATGTAGCGCAGCAGGATGCCTGCCCGCCTGTCGATGGTCCGCAGCAGGGGTCTCAGGCCCTCGGCGCCGCCCTGGCTCTCCCAGAGCTCCCGGTCCACGCGCAGCGACGCCAGCATCAGGCTCTGCAACCTGCCCGAGCGCAGCGTGGCCACCGCCGCCGCCGGGAAGCTGCAGCGGAGGAGCAGGAGAGAGAGGGAGGGAAGGCGTTACCCAGGGAAGGCCGAGCAGGGAGGAGGGCAGCTGCAGGGCTGGGGCTTGGAGAAGAAATGCATGTCCACCCAGATGAACGTGGGATGAGGCACCTCCTGCTTAAAACTCTGCCCCACGGGGAGCGTGCCGGACAGCTCCACCAGAAATGGATCCAAATGAGCTCCAAATCAAGGAGCCAATAGTGTGCCAAATGCCTGTGCAGTGATGGAAGAAGTGCTGAAATACTTGATTATTCATTATTTTGGTGCAGCTGCCAATTAGAGAGGGAAAAACAGGGTTTGGAGACGGCCGTCAGCCACCCGGAGCAGGATGAAGAGCCAGTTTCAGGGCAGGGGCACGTGTGATGGATATGCGAACCCGTCCACCTGCCCTGTCCGGGGTGGGAGGTGGCCCTGCTTCACAGGGGTGCCCGAGGGGGGCGGCCAGGGAAGGCACAAAGGTGTGCACGTGGGGCTGGTGTCCATCCTGCATGCACAAGCTCAGCCCTTGCCCAGGACATGCCCCCAGGAGGGTGGGCATCGCCCTTCCTACCTGTCTATGCCTTGCAGGAGCCTGAAGTTGAGCTTCTCCTCAGGGTGCTGTGGCCTGCCCGCGTTGTCGATGAACACCAGGCGGGATGGCGCGCTCCTCCGGACCTGCCGGTGGGATGGGAGGGGGAAGTTCACTTAGCCTGGGGAGTCACCAGTTTGGGTGTTGAGGCTGTTTTTTTTAATGTATTGAATAATCCTGAGAGCACCTGGGGGCTGTCAGCTGCCAAAGCCCAGGTCCCTCCATGCTGAGGCACACCTCCCATCACGGACCCCCCACAATCATGGGACCTACATCCCCCTTGCTGCAACACCAGCCCTGCAAGGGCCTCCCAGGCACCTTCGCCTTAGTCCTGGAGCAGTCCTTGGGGAGCAGGGGGACATACCAGGATGTGGACCAGGACCAGCTCTGACGGGTTTCGGCACTTCTCATGGAGCCTTTCCTCCACGCAGGGCTCGGAGGGATCGGGCTGAAACCCGCAGCAGTAGCGGTCCAGGCGGTCATGAACCTGCGGGAGACATTTGGGGACCTTAGTGGGGACAGGTGCCTGGGGTGGGGAGGTCCAGTTGTGAACTTTTCTTGCTCAGAGGAAAATAAAAATTTTCTAAGGATCCTCAGGAGGCACGAAATGGAAAAGCTGCCTATGCTGGTGAGTGAGGGAGAGGCAGGGAAGCTTTCAGAAGCTGAACTGACTTGCAAAACCCCCTTGGCTTGGAGAAGAGGCCAACAAAGGTGATGCTGGCAGGCTTTCCTGCTGCAGCTCAGGCACCTTCTGTGCCTGGTACCTCCACACTCCCCATTTGCACAGAGCGAACGGGTTGTTGCTTCCAGCTGAAACCAAGGGAAGACATACACGGTGATGAATGTAAAAAAAAGAATAAAAACCAAAAGCACCCAAGGAAACCTAGGTTTTGAAACCTTAAAAAGAGATATTTTTTTTTTTATTCTTGGGCTGAGTCTTGGTGCACTGGATGATGGCTTCATCTGGCTCCCGGCTCATATACACCCTTTCATCCATCCCTACTGGCAACATAAGCAGCTCTCAATGGAAAGAAGAATGGAAAAAGATCAGCAAGGGAAAAAGCAATCTGTGTTATACAAAGCATGTCTGACATTTAAGTTAGGCCACGGTGACTTGTTTTAACTACATTTGTGTTTAATTATTTGGAGGCACTGCTAAGGCTCTGTGTTGTTGAGTCAGTCAAGCCCCCCCATCCCACCCCAAATCCCTGCAGAAACCCCAGTGCTGCTTGGCAGCTTCCAGTATTTCACCCGCACCTTCAGAGATGTGAGGGAGTTTGAAAAGAAATAAATCTCCCT